TTCGAATTTTGATACGAATCTCCCAACTAAACAACACAAGTTGTTCGGCTTTGCTTATCTTGCTGATTTATGACTATTTTCCTCACACCCGCCGAAAATAATAGAATAATATTAAGGACACGTATGCATATGCTCACGGTTAGATAACTCATAGTTTTTTATACGACAATTAAAAAGGTGGGCCCTATTTGTGGACTTATACTTTGAGATTGACCTTCTATGAATATGTGATATTAAATACCACTAAATAATAATTCTCCAAAATTATCCTTATCGATGAAGTCCATTGTCTATCAATTGTAGTGTTTGGATACTATTGATGCGTCCAAACATTTTTCGATTACTTAAGCAATACTCCTAATGTCAATCAGGCTTAAAAGAATATAAATCCTATTTATAGTCTTATTTAGTATACTCCTAATGTCAATCAGGCTTAAAAGAATATAAATCCTATTTATAGTCTTATTTAGTATAGAATGATCATTGGACGTGGTGTTGGACATCACTAATATTACTTAACAATATTGTTCGCCACTTGATGGATTACATCCATCACCTATAAATTATGGTGTTTACACATAATTGGTATCTCTAAGCATTTTTTAAATAATTAAGCAATGCCCAGGTATGGTATGGAAATTTTGACAAGCTTTTAGCTAATGAGCACTACGAGCAGATCATTAATTTATTTAACTTGGGGTGTTATGTTTAATTGTGACGTTTGGTCTGGTCCTGAAACTTGTGTCGGCTGGGAATACTGCTCGTCTCTAACCACAAAGGTAGTTTTCACACATTTGGAAAATTATAACGCTAAGGCTGATTTAGTTTACTAATTTGAGTTTTTAATTCGAGTTGAGATGTGATTTTATGTGAGAATTTTTTACTGTAGTAAAAAAGTTAAATGTGACTGTTTCTGAGAGCTTTTTACTGTAACAAAACTCAAACTCTAAACTCAAATCGGTGAAATGAACTGGACCTAAATGCATACACAATAATATTGGTGAGTCATGTCAAACAAAAAAAAAAAAGTGATGACTACTTTAAAGTAATATCTAGTAGTCAACGTACATTAGATCCGTCTCATTGTGGATTGTAGTGTTAAACACTATATATTCATGTCTTTATAAAGCATCACTAAAAAGTAACCCTAATAATATAGTGCTTTTGCACTACTTGTAGTTTTTATAGCCGTCGTGGTTATCATCATCCTCGTAATTATTACTATTTGAATTAAGTAACCATTCAAATGTAAGACTCTAACATAGAGTTAAGTGAGGAATTATTGTGATATTAAGGTCTCGTTCACTTAGCAGATTCGAGTTTTCAATTTGAGTTGAGATGTGATATTTTTTTAGAGTTTTTTTACTGTAGCAGAAAACGTTAGATGTGATCTTTTCTAAGAGCTTTTTACTGTAAAAACTTAAAACTGAAAACTCGAATCGGTAAAATGAACGAGACCTAAGCTTATAATCAATATATATATATATATATTAAAGGTTTTTTTATATCTTTAAGTTGTAATATTATATTAGCACTATATATTGATGTCTTTCTAGAATTTTTTTCTTTAAGTAAACAAGTGAAACACCTTATCCAGTATGAGCATGCAAATTATTGAAGCTATGCGCGGTACATGTTAAACATAAAATTATGATTATGATATGATGATTGTGAAAAGGTTTTAATAGCGAAGTGACTATAATAAAGCTTTTGTGCGGCTAATTAATTGCATAATTAATATATTGGTGGCAGTTGTTCCGTGGTTGTCACATAAACTATAAGCTAATCACGTGAATGGCCTGGAACATTTCGTTTTATTGTCAATGTTTTTCAACATAATACAAATTGAACTAGCGTCTAGCATACTCTTTTAGTATTAAATACAAACTCTCTTACAGACTTTTTACGGATATTCCCGTTTAGTTTGCTGATTTGAGTTTTTAATTCGAGTTGAGATGTGATTTTATGTGAGAGCTTTTTACTGTAGCAAAAAAGTTAGATGTGATTATTTGTGAGAGCTTTTTACTGTAGCAAAACTCGAATTCTAAACTCGAATCAGCGAAATGAACGGGCCTTATTCTTTTGACAAGTAGCATCCTCACTTTCTCAAATAAAGCAGCTTAATAACAAGCCATTTCTTTCAATCTCATTTACAAGAGTACCATTCTTTTTTTTTTTTTTTTTTTTTTGCTGCTCCAAATCTAACCGACTAGATATTTGATCAGGAAAAAAAAAAAAAGAAAAAAAGTTGAGGTAGGAGAAATCGTTTATTCGATGAGTTAATGGAAGGCCTTGGTGCATTCTTGATATATATTTCTCCAGCTTTTCTTATTTTTCTTTGTTGTCGATGTTTTTTATTTTTATTTTTTATTTTCGACAGCAGGCAGTTTTTTTTTTTCTTGTTGCGTTTCATATATATATTTTGCTTCAGTTTTTTATTTTTTTATTTTTTATAACTCAAGTATATTTCACTGGATTCAGCAAAAAGTATATCTTAATTGTATAAAAATATATATCTTATTGGATCTTTTTTTTTTTGGTTTTTGGACTTTGCCTCAAACTGATTCGTTTTCAACAGTGAGTTTTTTTTTTCCCCTTTATATATGTTAGTTTCGTTAATATATATAGGCAATAAAATTCTTAATTAGCATCCGCTTATTTATTGAATCTTTTTTTATTCTATTATAGGTAATTAATGAACTTGAATGGATGCATCAACTTGAATTAAGGAATGGTACTCCGATAAATAACATTGAAAGAAATGGTATGTTTTTAAAAGGATGACACTTGTCAAAAAGATAAAATAGTATCTGCAAAAAAGTATGTAAGAGAGTCTCTTGAATTAACAATTAAGGAATGACACTCCTGTAAATAACATTTGTAAATAACATTGAAAGAAATTGTCTGTTATTAAGTTAGTTTATTTAAGAAAGTGAGGATGATACTTGTTAAAAAGATAGAGTAGCATCCGCAAAAGAGTTTGTAAGAGAGTATTTATTTAGCACTTATATATATATATATATATATATAGATTATAGGGATAAGTGATAGATTTCTTACTTTTTGTCTTATCAAAACTATATCTCTCAAAGATAACGAAGAACTATAAATAATCTCATGGTTGGAGGATTCGTTTTCTGATTCGAATCATGGTTCATAATTCGTTATAGTATTTTCTCTTACAAAAAATACACGTAAATTAAAAATAGTTATAATCCATGAACTAAATGGGCTCGCACTTCTTTCCTTGGAGATTTCCCTTCCTTTGTAGAGAGATAGTGGTAAGTAATAAACAGAAATCGCTTTGCCGTTTGTGTTCCTTTTGGTTTCTTGGTCTTCGTGGACGAAATATTCAGCAAAGCAGACAAACAAACAATTAGCAATACAAATACTAGAGTATCCCCTCTATAAAAAAAGAAAAAAATGCTAGAGTGGTAAGTAAATAATGTTTTGTTAATTTTTAAGGATAACATATATGTAGAGAAAAAATGACAGACAAATATAACAAGGTCATCTGGCATTATTTAAGGATATTTTTAATATTTCTTTTGGTGTTCCGTTTAGACATTGGAAGCGTTTTATTATGGGTTTTTATAAGGAAATTTTAAATATTTAATTTATAATGATTAATAATACTCCAATAAAAAATAACGTGTTACCAATGCTTCGATTGAATTAAAACGTTAGGAGACTATCGGATGTGAAATTAATTGCAGCTCTTAATTAAACTTTTTTAGCGTAAATGATATTTTGACTTATCATAGAGCTTCATTCCTTAAATAACTAAACAGATTTGAAGTTTATTGATCAACCAAAAAAAAAAAGGGAGTTTCTCTAGATGAAAAAAAATGAACTACCGATAGTTTTATACTTTTTAACTATCCGATCCGCATAAGAAATTATATGTTCGGCATAAGTTTTCAATCTGATATGATTTTAATCAAATTCAACGGTTAGAAACTTACCAGAGAAAGTTTCAAGGAAGAAAAGATAGATTTGGACTTTAAAAGGGTACAAGTGGATCTTCCAAAAGAGATAGACCATGAAGAAAGCGATTTATCAATATTATCACATCGTTATAAAATGTGAAAAGGCTAATTTGCGATTTGATCCTAATTCCTGAATTTTTGAAAACATTTAAGACTTGTTTGATAGAGGAATTTAATCCCTGTTCAAAATTCTGTTATAGTGTTTTTTCTCATACAAATTTAAATTTAAAAAGTTTTGTTATACTTTTTCTCTCACAAGAATTTTAAAAATTAAAATTTTAGTTCAAACCACTTTATTTGAACCCAAAAAAGTAGCAAGCCCTTGAATTCTAAACTATAGTACGGCTTAAGTAGGTCCTTGAAGCAATGAAATAAAGGCCAGAGGTCCCCCAAGGACCCCAACTACTGTCAAAATGTGCCTCGAGGTCCTCAACTTTTTCATGATCCTGTAAATCATTCATAACAATCTCTTTTGGCTAGAAGAAATACCTGAATGTATTTATACATCAATGAAAAGTTTATCTGATAATTAATGAATCCATCATTTTCTTAAACCTAAAAAAAAAAAAAGGCCATAACAAAACCAAATGAATATGAAACGGCTTTCCTTCTTGAACTATCCAGCTAATCCAACCTCATTATACAACCTCAGTTACCAGTACTTATACTTGCTAATTATAAATGAGCAAGTAACAAAGGCCTTTATTGATAAATATCGTTTAGTACAATAACCCTTATTGTTGCTGAAGGAGGAATTTCCTCCAACTAAATCAGTTTACGCCAAGTAAACTAACCAATATGTTGTACTCAAAAGGCCGGTGGAAGTCACTATTTAAAACAACCACGAAAAGGATTAGTGTCATTTGGTTCATAAATTTAAACATAAATTTTAATTTTGATAAGAGAAAACAATGTTTCAAAACAATTTATTGAACTATGGTTCAAACTCTCAAAATTAGATTGAGATCTTAAGACTCACTATATATAAGGATTTTCTTCCTTGGAGGAAAGCTATTTAATATAATCACTTAAGCTGCTTGCTCTATATTTCTTGGGATTTTCTTTGTCAAAAAGCTCTAGAGCAGGCTCAACCATCTCTTCCATAGGCAAACTATGAAAGCGTCCTCCCTAGGACCACCATCTTGAGGGGGCATATTAAGGAAAATGTGTAGTCTACAATTTTTTGATTTTTTTTTTTTTTTTAAATTTCTTAGCTGTATATATTTAGTTCACAATTAACTCCTCTATTATAGGAAATTAGTTGTATAGTTTTGATTCTCTTCCGTTGACTTCTACAGCTTGTAAATTGTATATTTTCATTCACCGCTAATGAAAAGTTGATGAGCCATTCACTTTGCAAACATTATTATTATTATTATTTTTTTTTAAACATATTAGTCAATCGACATTACGCTATGAGACATGTTGGACCTAGGTCTTCTGGTCATGTGTTGAGCTGATAAAATTAGAAGAAAAAAAATGGAGAATTTAGCTTTGAAAGTACATGAATATGGACGTTTATCCTTTAGTCTTGATAAATACTTTTTTATTAGTGTAATTATTTAACTAAAAAAAATTAAAAATTAAGAGTTAATAATAAAAATCTTGATTCATAAACTTTTAAAGAGTATTTGTCAAGATTATCCATAAAATTAGTGACTCTCTTGCAGTTTATTTTCATTTACTTGTTATTATAGGGTATTTCTGTCACAATAAAATTTGCGATTAATGACGGACCATTTTTTTTTTTTTTTTGCTGGAAAAAAAAAATCACAAAAAAAAGGTCTGTTTGACCATGCAAGAAGAGCTCGAGCCCAAGGCAAAAAGGAAGCTTGGGCTTCCCATGCGCATGCCGGTTATGAAAGTCATAAGACGTAGTGGAATTAAATTTTAAAAATTGTCAATAAAAGAATCCGAGTTATATTACTATACAAAATCATTGTTCATAGCATACGTTCATACCTATTGGGTGAAATAATTTCTGCATGATCAAGCGTTTCAAAACCACACAATCTTTCTTGTTATTCTTATCTCCTTCAGCTAGTGTGTGACGGCCAGTTGAACTTCTTTGTATCATCAATTTTGCTTCTAATCTCACTGTGAATTTCTAAACTCTTAAGGATGAGAATTGAGGCCTCTTTTGCTTCGTTAGTTAAAATTATAACTAGTTTTTGCTAGAGTTTTTTTTCTTATAAAAATTTAAATTTAATTTTTTCTATTACAGTATTTTTTTCACGTGAATTTATTTTTTAACTCGAACGAGCTAAATAAACAAAGTCTTACAAATTCGAAATGAAGGTTGAAAAGGATCAAACCTTAACAGGAACCTTAAAAAGGTTTATTTATATTTATAACACTAGCGATGTAATCAGAATTGGGAAACTTCCCAGTTCCCGACAGCTTTAAATTTGCGCACTCCTTACAGGGGCTTCCCCACAAAAAGTGGGCGTATCCAAGCATACCAAAGTCATATTGCTTGTTGACATATTAACATTATTAGCTTTGTTAGGATTTTGCTTGAGGATTCCATTTTATCACGCAAAGAAGGAAAAAGATTTTATTATTACTCTGTAATTATTGGCATTTTTTTTTTCCGAACATGTATATACATACACATCAGTAGATATTATTGTTTTAAGGAGAAGATAATAATCTTATAGTTTCCTAAATAGAGTAGTTGATTAAAAATTTATGAAAATTAAAAAAATTATATTGTTATCACATTATATCATTAAATTTTTATATTTAACAGACGGGCTACAGATAGATCATTACTCCGAATAGGCGCATATCTCACTGGTCTAAACACATCTTCAGAAGAAAATGCATTCTTTTCCTCAATTGGCAGATCAAAGAACTTCATCGACGAGCCAAGAGCGTCTTCAATGACCCTCTTGCTTATGCCATGATTGGTAATCTACAAGCAACACAACGAGGTTGATTATTACTTGATATTTACAAAGAAAAATAAAAGAAGAAAATGTTGGGTCAAATTTTACCTGAAAGAAGCCCATTTCTTTGCAAGCTTGGTGAAGTTTCTCAACAACTATGGACCTTGTTTGGGAGTTGTGGCTGATCAAGTCATTGAGACTGATAGTGGGCATTTTTGAAGATTCTAGAGTTGAAAGCACACTCAAATTGTTCCGTCCCTGATCCATAACAAGATAGTGGTCACCGATATTCAGAAAGAGAGAGAGAGAAACTGAGAGCTACAATGAAGAGAGAGAGAGAGTGAGAGCTACAATGATTGAAGGGGAATTGTGAATTATGATGTGTGCTTTATTCGTCACAAGTTTTTTAAAAAAATGCCCAAAATGTGGTGAACAGTAGACAATTCGGCATGGGATATAAAACAGATATTATTAATTTTTTATTGTAATTCTTTTTTTTAGTAGAAATGCATTCGAAAGCAAAGAAACAAACAACAATTTCATACCAAAGATAGCCGCTCCTAGGGCCAAAATAAACTACTAGGTTACTAGCAACAGGAATAGGAATTTATATATAAATATAGGCAAAGTTTTAAGTCTTGATTGTCGTATGGTATGGTAAATGTAACATTTTTGTACAAATTTATAACTGTTTAGTATAATGTGATAGCAATGAAATAAGGTTTATTGTAATATGGAGGTCAATTATATTTTATTGAGTGTTACACTTAATAAAATGAGTGTTATACGAATGTACAAATTAATGGAATTGGACTTTCTAAACATTTGAACATCCATATTAAAAGGGCAACTTATTATGTAAGACAAACAAATATCCTTATAAGTTGGTGTTTGTTATTGTATTTATATAATTTTAGACTTGGGTTTATTTTACCCTTTACATGTCCCTGTAAGATGTTGCTCTCTCTAAAGTTAACAATCTTGTATTGAATAGTTCGAGCCACTCGTTTAAACTAGTTGGACTCTAATGGAATTGGACTTTTTAAAGGCTTAGGCTTCCATCTGACCCAATATCCTTATAAGTTGGTGTTATTATTTTTAAATAATATGGGACTCGAGTTTATTTTACCCTTTATACGCCCTCATAAAATAATGCTTTTTTTAGAGTCACCAATCTTATTTTAGATAGATCGAGACGTTCATTTTAACTAGTTGGACTTTGATACTATAATGAAATTGGACTCTCTTAAGGATTTGGGTTTCTATCTTAAAAGGCCATATTAAGTGTGGTGGCTCAATGTCGTTATAAGTTGACATTTTTTATTGTATTTGAACAATGTAGAACTCAGATTTATTTTACCAATTATAAAAATGATGTTATAATACTGCACGTAAAATGTTGCATTTGCAAAACGGGTACAACCACCAGATCAGAGACCTTTTCTATAAATATAACGAAAAAATTAGGTGGAATGCCCCTTATGCCAAACAGGTATTTATTTGTGCTCCTCATTTTGGGGTTAGTATTTTTGCTCCTTTAACCAATCTTAAGCTCGGAATCGAAAGCATGTTTACTTAAAGAGGTTCAAACCCCAGCTCTCAAATCCCAATTCTAATTCGAATGGTTCTGTTACAATATTTTTCTACAAAAATTTAATTTTAGTTTGAACCCATAATGCTTCTTCTTCTTCTTTTGGCCTGTGGCTTATGTTTGGTAATTTCAGACGCCTAGGCATGTCCCTCGTACTACTAATATAAGAGTTAGGATTGGTTTAATACTTCAGTGTGACAGTGTTAATCATGCATACACCTAATCTGTCCGTGGGTTTTTTTTTTTTTTTTTTTTTTTTTTTTACTATCCTTTTCTGCGAGTGTGAGAATCATATCATATAAGGGTTTTTTCTAAGAGATCATTTAGATTGATTAGGCCTTTTATTTTCATACACACACACACACACACATACACACAAACATAAAAGAAATTCGTGTTGTCCTCAATTTATATGTTGGGTGTGCAATGAGATGAAATCACGCCGATGGAATATGCCTTTTTTTTTTTCTTTTATAAAATCTTATATAGTGTTTGCTGGTTTAATAACGTGGACTGCAAAAATTGGGTACTTCTTTTTTTTATTATTTTTTTGTTAAAACATATAAATTGGGCACTTCAATGATGAATTATGTATTAATTTGTTTCCGTTTCCAGAGCATATACTTATAATATAGAAAATTGGAACCCCCTGTAACCTATAAAACAATTGCGTTGTAATTCCCATACTTTTCAAGCAAAAACAAGAGCATCAAAACTTTTTGTTCAAGTCAAATTTCCATTTGATCTATCCGACATATATAAAGTTCCACCATGGCGTACCGATCCGCGCTCCACCTTTCCTTTTTTGCTGATCATTTGCATGAGCTCTATGGCTCACTGCAGCTTGTTAGATGGCGTTGTTGACCGAAACATCATCTCGGATACCACTGGAATAGGCCAAGTGAGTGCTTCTGGTGTTTTAACAATGGAATGTGATGGGGGTAGAACTGTCCTCAGTGATGTGGTGACGGATACAAATGGATTTTTTTAAATTACTTTCAACACTCTATTCACTTCTGTCTTCCATCCAAATCAGTGCGATTAGTGCAGGATATCTGTTAGAAGCATGTTTTCCGGTTGTCGCTTTCACTCTGAACACCGCGGTGTCCTTCTCGCGCCTATTAATTGTCACAACGCTATTGTAGAACAACTGCATGATGATGAATAAGGACGCAGTTATTTTGTGAAGTACAAAGCAGAACCATTTTATTACGATCTTCTTATTAATATGTTTACTGTTACGTGTGTGTTTTACTTAATTTGAGTCAGGCATCTTTGGTGGTGCTTTCATTCTTTTTATTTTTATTATTATTATTATTTTCAATTTACTTCCCTAGTAATATTGCTAAGATATGTGGTTTTCTTGTTCTTCGATTCTTATTGTATTTTTATGTTAACGAAACGTTTAAAGTTCTTGTCATGAAAATGAAAATGTATGTGATAAGCCTATTATGTAATTGAAAAAATAATCAAAATAATCGACATTCTCATGTAATAGAAAACTTTTTTACAGGTTATTAATTGTGAACCAATCTGGAGATTTTGTGATTTCTTCTCTTATCTCTTGCTTCCTTTTATATATATTTAACATTTTTTTCCTCTCTAAATGGGGTGTAAAAGTAATCTAATAAGCAGTAATACTCAATTAAATTATAAATATAATTTAATTTAGGCATGTGGTGACATAATTACAATTTTTAAAATAGAGTGGTGATCATATGATTGTAAGTTTTTTAGGATACCATTGATCTTCTCCAAAAAAAAAAATAAAAATAAATAAATAATTAGCAATGTATCACGACCCAAAATCAGGCAGTAACAAATTCAATAACAATAAGAGCAATGTTACTTGTTCCTATAAGGCTATAGCCCCACTTGTGGGGTTCATATGGGTCCCACATATAGGGTTATAGCACCACGGAGTTATACAACATATTTTATTCAATAAATTTAGGGTTCGTTTAGTTCGTTGATTTAAGTTAAAATGTGATTTTATGTGAAAATTTTTTATTATAATAAAAAAGTTAAATGTGATTATTTTTTAAAATTTTTTACTGTAACAAAACTCAAATCGATGAAACGAACGAGATCTTATAAAATATACTGTTCTCACCGAAAAGTAAATACACACCCGGGAAAAATCCATAGGCCAAGAAGAGATAACCGTTTCATTCCAACCACATATACTTTCAAAGGCTCAAACTTTGCGATATTGGGCAGGTAACTGATCACAGCCATGGCCGGAGATTCTCTGTCCTCGGTGTTTGTGAACCCATCTTTCTCGCTCTACCATTCCAAAGCCAGAGCACTTCCAAGGAACCAATGTGGTTCTTCTTGGCGTCATACTGAGCCCGGAACCAAAACCACTTCTCTACCAATCATCAGAGCTGCTCGGAAAGAGGATATCGTTATCGTCGGAGCAGGCATCGCCGGCCTCGCTACTGCAGTGTCCCTCCACAGGTTGGATCAACAAACAATATTTCTCAAAAGGGTTTTAGAATTTCATTGTCAATTCAATGGATTTCCATATTTTTCTTTGAAGCCAAAAAGGCTATAATCGTAAGGGTCTTTTTACGGTAGGGGCCCCGACGAATAGTCATATTTTTAAAGATTAGTCTTGGTTAAAGTCATATTCAAATGAAAAAGCATACAAAGTTGAGAGAATCTTATACAGATTTGACAATTTAAAAGTGGTATAATTTTCATAATTTTATGGATGATATAACACTTATGAATGCAAAATTAGAGAAATACAGCATTAACAAGTTGTGATAGTAGTCTCCGAAACTTGTGGACTTGTCACTTGTGAATATATATCTTAGTTATAGAATATTGGAATTATGACATTTGATGGAGAAGATTCCCATGTTTGAAAATGGATGATTTAGGCTTGGCCTTCGATCATTGGTGCTTGAGCAAGCAGAGTCGCTTCGGACTGGTGGAACCTCACTCACTCTTTTTAAGAATGGTTGGCGGGTTTTGGATGCAATTGGAGTTGGAAGTGAGCTCAGAAGCCAATTTCTTGAAATTCAAGGGTATATATGTGATTTTCCCTCTGTTTTGTTTATATTTTGGGTTCAACGTTCAAGCATAATCTTTTGCCCCGCTTCTGATTACATTAAACCTTCTGTGCAAGCATAATTTGTGGTTTCACTTCAAATAATGTCATTTATAAGTTGGACTTTTAACTGTCAATTAGTTTTTAGGATCTTAAATTTGAGAATCCTTGACAATGTAGTAAAATCGACATTCACGTTAATTAATAAATAGAAGTCAAAATCTCAAATACCAAAGTTAGAAAATTTAGAGTCCAATCTACCAAAAATTTAGGGTGTACTTGTAGAAACTATGGAGAGTTTCGATTAGGCGACGTCCATCCGCGATTGAACCAAAAACTTGCAAACATTTTTTTTAAATTTAACGTCCCATCGCCATAATTGAAAGTTCAGAGTTCAAATTGTCAAACACCGATAAATTTAATAAGGTGCACTAAAAAAACCCTTTTAATAAAAACCAATATTGTTCCATTTCTGGAAATCTTAAAACTTTTCTAAATCTGGTAAACTAACATATCACTATCAGAATAATCTTTTAGTTTATAATCCTTAAAATAATCTATTTTCATGGAAGTGGTTTTTATCTTGTGGCGGTTATGCAAACTATGTTTTATTTATTATTATTTTTTTAGTCTGAACTGGTTCATGGTTTCAGCTGTGCAGGATGGTGATAAAGTCAGAAGATGGAAGGGAGCTGCGCTCCTTCAAGTTCAAAGATGAAGATGAAAGGTACTACGATAATAGTTATCTTTCCCACTTAAATGGTTTTCTTTTTTTTTTTTTTCCTTTTTTGCTCAAGAAGTAAGCCTTAGTAAATTACACTATTTTGGTTTCTCTCACTTAATGTTATATAGATAGAAAAGACTTATTTCGGCTCACTTTTTGTACAACATGAATGGGACAGCCAAGAAGTGCGTGCTGTAGAGAGGAAAGTCTTATTAGAGACTCTTGCCGACCAGCTGCCACCAGATTCTGTCTACTTTAATTCCAAATTGACAAATATTAGTAAAAGTGAAGGTGGAGAAACTATGTTGGAACTGGTGGATGGAACTCGGTTATCTGCAAAGGTTAGACTTAAGCCATCGTATAATTTCTTGTCTAATAACTCTTTGTACTTCATACTCTTGGCAATGACTGCTGAAGCTCAAAACTTGTTTTCAAGAACTTTGGATAATAGTTGAAAAACTTTTAGACTTTTCTAGAGAAGATGAACTTTTCATAACGCTTCTTCATTAACGGTATTTTCGTTTGACGGTAGTTTAGGGATTCTCTCTTATAAATTCAATCACCCTAGGATTTCTTTGTAATTAGGGGGTGTTGTCATTATAACTTATAAGAGAAGTTAGAGAAAACACAGAGAGATTGAGGCTTCGTTCAGTTTGCCAATTCGATCTGAAATGTGACTTTATGTGAGAGCTTTTAACTGTAGCAAAAAAATTAGATGTGACTTTTTGTGAGAGCTTTTAACTGTAACAAAACTGATATTGAGAACTCGAATCGGTAAAATGAACGAGGAATGAGAGTATGCGACTTTCTTTTGTTAAGCTTATCGATCATCATCATTAAGTGCATTAATGCAGCTACTGAAAGATAACATAGTCTAACATTGAGGCAATGCTCGGTAGATTTTGCATATTCACGTTTGTTTATTTTCTTTGCGATTTTACTGTTCTCAGTAATGTGGAGTCAGGGCTCTAACTTTTAACAAATTGTTTGACTATATCTATATTTTATGTTTGATTAACTATTTACCTTCTGTGGATGTTAACAGATAGTTATTGGCTGTGATGGGATCCGATCTCCAATAGCCAAATGGATGGGATTTCCTGATCCCAAGTATGTTGGACATTGTGCTTTCCGAGGTCTTGGATTTTATCCCAATGGACAACCATTTGAACCAAAAGTGAATTATATCTATGGAAGAGGGCTGAGAGCAGGGTGTGTTCCCGTTTCTCCCACAAAAGTCTACTGGTTTGTCTGCTTCAATCGTTCATCACCAGGTCCAATCTTAGACATCTTAAACATAAAGTGATAAAAGCTTTTTGAACTTTGAAGTTTCCTCGTTGGCCTAACAAAGTGGACTGGTTATTGTAGGTCCTAAAATAAATGACCCATCTGAACTGAAGAAGCAAGCTAAAGAGTTGGTCAGAAATTGGCCTGCCGATCTACTGAACATCATGGACCAAACCCCGGATGACACAATCATCCGAACGCCCCTTGTCGACCGGTTGTTGTGGCCTGCCATCAGCCCCCCGGCTTCATCAGGTAGAGTCGTGCTGGTTGGAGACGCATGGCATCCAATGACACCAAATCTCGGGCAAGGAGCGTGCTGTGCCCTGGAAGACGCCGTTGTTCTGGCAAGAAAGCTTGCAAATGCTGTCAAATCTGGATCATCATCAGTTGAAGATGCTCTGAGCTCGTACGGGAGCGAAAGATGGCCCCGAGTTTTTCCTCTATCCATACGTGCCAATCTCGTTGGATCGCTCCTGCAGTGGGAGAACCCAGTTGTGTGTTCTGTTAGGAACGATGTTGTCATCCCCAAGCTAGTTAGGCTTGGACCATTGTTGGCGCATACAAATTTTGACTGCCAACCCCTATAGACACAGCTAAGAGATTCAACCTCAGAACAAGTAAACATTGATATACGTGTAAAACTGAGAAAATGTACTGAAGCTTATACAATCTCATTTTCTGACTGTAATTCTTTTTGTCTGTTCTCAGAAGATAAATATGTGTATCTAGATGTATTTTCTTTTAGAAGCTCAAGAAGGGCTAGGATTTTGTTAATCTGTTAGAATATAACACAATAAAATGTGAATCTCTGTTCGGATGACCAATTCAAGCATAAATATACCATCGCTATGACCATAACGAGTAAAGCTTTTATACCAAGAGAAATATATGTGTTAACTTCTTATTTAAATGTGACGAACATTTTGAACAATATTTCAAAGAATATACTAATACATATACAATCTCTCCTAAAAGATCAAGACAAAAAGGAAGGACAAGGAAGATTATGCAACATGGCTCATATAAAAACTTCGAATCAGCCTATAATCTCATCCATGTATACTAGTGTATGGAAGACCTCTCTACATAAAAAGCATTCTGCAACAATCTTAAAGTCTATCCAAGTCCTTTAACTTCAAGTCTCCATACAACGAGGCAAGCTTAATGTCTCCGTACATCGAGAATTCATGACTTCGATTCTGGAAGAAAACCGAAAAGTATATGTGTTGATGAGAAAAGAATGAAACAAAGATGTCAAATTAAGGATTGAGGTTTAAGAAATATAGAATGTTCTTTTACCAAACTGAATGCTTCGGAAAGTTGCTTTCTAGTTACAGCAGATATCATCGAAAAGCAGGTTTTAATGATCACTTTTAGGAGCCGTAAAAGCAATCCCGAAGTGGCCAACTTTGGGACTGCTATTGCAACACCTAAAAGTACTTACAAAAACAATTTTAGCAACAGTTGAGATATGGTAAATCTATAGAAAACGACTTTTAGTAGTAGTTTGGTAAAAGAGATTCACACAGAATCCAGAATCCAAACTCCAAAGGAATATGTGGTCAGATTTTACATCATACTAAACTGTCAAGTGAAAATCAACAAGAACGCTAATTCATAAAATAAATAAATAAATAACTTGAAAGGTACCAGGATTGGAGAAGAACCAGAGGACGATGGCGCAGAGGAGGAGGAGGAGAGGGATGAGGTGGATAGCGTTCTGGGCGGATCTAAGGCGAGACTGCTGTCTCTTGGCAACGGCGGAGAGGGGATTGTATGTCGGAAGGTCCAGGTGGTGGTGGTCAACGTCATCGTCGAAGGTCAGAGACGGCGGCTGAAAAGTTGCCGCCGCCGCGGACGTTGAGATGGAGAAAGTGGTCTCGGAGATGATTCTCGAAGATCTCTTCTGCATCTTTAGAGAGAGAGAGAGAGAGAGAGAGAATCTCAGAGAGTTGAATCCGCTGGGATTCTTCGCTTTGTTAGTTTCTTTTCTAGCTTTAGCGCGGTTTAAGTTTGTTTCTCGTTTTGGAAAATTACCGTGGCATTTCGGGATAATGTCGTAGATTAGAAAAGAACATCCTCAGATATGTAAGAGGAGAAAGTGAGCGACGATGGCTCGAGTAAACGATCATAAAAACGTCAAGTGAACGAAAAGCGGAGACGACAATAAGAGTTAAACGACATTAAACTTGATACCAACAAAACGACAACTGAACGAAAACCGGAGACGAGCCATACGAAAACGACAATCAGTTTAGTTAACGACAAGGTAATTTATATATTTTACATCGAAGAGGGTGTCACAAGTACCGTTTTAATCTAACAACTACTAAAAAAGCCTAAGGGCCGTTTAGTTCACTGATTCGAGTTTTTAATTTAAATTAAGATATAATTTTATATGATAACTTTTTATTCTAACAAAAAAGTTAGATTGACTGTTTTTAGAGCTTTTTACTATAATAAAACTCGAATCGGTAAAATAAACAGAGCCTAAACTCTTTCTCTCTCAAGTTGCCATGTGGCAACCTTCCCTCTCTTACTTTTTTTTTTTTTTTGCTCTTTACTTTTTCCTATCTTCATTCTTTTTTTTTAATTTTTTTAATGTTTTGTTTTTCTTTTTTTCTTTTATGAATTTTTTTAACAATTTGATTTTTTACTTGTTTTACTCCTATGAAATTAGTTTCTAATGCATGTGTTTCCATTTTTTTTGTCAATGTTAAAATAATTTTCTTTAAATTTATCCTTACTTAATTTTTGTCTGTATAATTCCCATCATATCAAAAATTATCTTTACACGTATTTTTAATACTAAATCGTCTTCTTCTAATTCACAATTATGTAGATTTGTTTTATTACTAAATGTTTAAAATAAAAAGAAAAGTGTATTTTTTTCAATTAAAATTTTAGAAACTTACTTTTAAAATAAATTCAAAAATTCTTAAATGGTTGTATAAATAAATTTCTCATCACCCAATAAATAATAAACTCTTCGATATTTTTAATACGGCAATACGTGAGTACTTTCCCACTGTTAGTATTTTTATAAAATTAGGTTATGAATATGAATTTACTATTTAGTACCCAAATGATAAAAACCCAACCAATAAACCATAATTATTATTACTTTTAAAACAATTACAAAAATCAAAACTACAATCACTTCAACAAACGACAGCTATCGCTAAAATCAATAAACTACAACAACTCTTAAATAACGACAAAACAAAAGGGGGGCTTAAGCCACCGTATTTGACAAGAGTCGGCAGAGATTGAGTCCACGCGCTTGCAGCTGAAGGTGGGAAAGTTGAAAGTCAATTTGAACGTAAAGACGTTTTCTTCTCGAGAGTTTTGCGGATGTAAATCTCGTCTACACATTCGGTACTTTGGTTCACGAGTGTTTTCACTCGCTCTCAAGCCAATTGGGTCCCACGATTTTTCTTTTATTTTTTTGCCCTTCTTCGTTTCTTCCTCTAGATCTCGTGCACGGACACGTACACCAGAATAATGAAGCAACTACGAAACGACTGGCTTTTTGCCCTCTAATTTTGTCGCACTGAATACTAAATAAATTAAATTCAGTTTATTTTACTGGTTTAAGTTTTATTTATTTAAATTGTTTAATTTAAATAAAAAAAATTAAATTATACAGTTTAAATTATAGTTTGAATTAATGTTTAGATGTATATAGTTAAAGTTTTAATTTGAACATAAAAATTTGTGTTTAGTTTATATGAAAAGAAGAAAGAGTGGACATTTTTTACTGTTTAAAAATAGTTTGAACGATTAAACTTAAAGTGTGAGTTAACTCTAAATTTAATCGTTTAACTCAGTTCAAACGATGAATATAATTTAAACTGCATGTTTATCAAACGACAATTGCTCACTGTTCAAATAAAATTAAATTGAACTAAACTAGTGAAATAAACAGAGGCTAAAACAATTCTAGAGCGTGATTGTCTATTTTAATTCATTCGCAAAATGACTAAAACAACCTTTCTCTTTTTTTTTTTTTTTTTTTGTATTTCATGAGAGCAAATTTATTGTGGTGAAACTAAAAAAATATTTAAGTATAAATTGTTAGGCAAAGTCTAAACTGTCCCGCACCGTACAATCCTACAAACTCAACTCTTTTTTTAATATATATTTTCATGTAACACTGTTTTTACGTGTGTGTGATTTATTTAAGTGTAATACTTAATTTTATATATTTTTTACTAGATTTTTTAAATGCTACATTTAAACAAATTGAGTATTATATACATGAATAGATGATGTGAAAAAAAAAGGACTGATCTAGATGTTGGATTTAAGACATTTCCTAAATTGTTAAACGAAAATGATTATGGATAAAAAAAAAGAGTAAATGTGATTGAACCTAAGTGAACTACGATAGATATCCCAATTTTATTTACATGGGAAACAAACGAAATGAAATTTTTTTTTTTTTTTTTCTTGAGAAGATATGAAAGATTGATTTAAAAATAATAATAAAAACGAGATTCAGAATCAAATATATGTAGAAAGAAGATTAATTTAAATTTAGAATTGGGTAGTGTTTCACTTGAAGTAATGTTAGGGGGCACTAAATTCTTGGATTAAAAGAACATGCATAGCTGATGCGATAAATCAATCTAATTGGTAATCTAAAACCAATATTTAGATACATGATATATATACTTTTCAATTGATGGTGGAATGCTTTAATTTGATAGACAATTTGTGTATGATTAAGGAAAATTTGATGGTAACAATTTGAAGACGGAATCAAAACAAAAACTTATCTATTTTTCTGTGTTTTAAAACTAAAAGTTCAAACGAGTATAGTCCACCTATTTACACAATTATACATGTTTACAAATCAAATCCACTGTTTTTTTTTTTTTTTTTTTTTTTTTTTTATTACATTTTACAAAAAAAAACCCCTTTTTTTTTTTTTTTTTTTTTTTTTTTTTATTGCTGGAAACCAATCAAATCCACTTAAAATACCATTGTCATTCTCATACAAATTGTATACTTCTTGGTGCAACATTTAATATGTGTCAAATATTCATATTAGAATTTACATTCATATAGTGCAACCCACTATCACAGTTCTAGATTGTAAAGTTCAACTCTTTATCATTTTGAGTGTGAAATTAAGTATACTATTGCTCATGTGACGGAATATTGATGGGAACATTTTTTAAAATAAAAAAAAAAAAGAAGAAAAGAAAGAAAAGTGACATTTCATTGGATTCAAAAGCAACAATAGTAAATTGGAGATGACGAGGATCATTTTGAAAGTGGCTTTTAAAAGAAAAAAAAGAAAAAAAAGAAAAACTAATAAGTCGCAAATTGAGGCATTTGTAACTAAAAATCAATAGAATACAAGCATATTATGGTTATGATTATTGTTTGTGAGGCATTTGTACCTAAAATCAATTGAAGACAAGCAAAAAAAAAATGAAAAACAAAACAAAATCAATAGAAAACGTATGTAGTAGTGCACTCAGATAGACACAATGGTTATATAAAGTGCCTTAATAATACTAGCAAAGAAAACCCTTTTTTTTTTTTTTTAGAGTTACGACGTTTGATAATGGACTATGATGCAATTGTCACTGGAACATTGGCTTAAATCTTAACCCTACATGATTGCATCAATTAGCCAAGTACAGTTATACTAGTGTTTTCCAGGCGCATCGCCATAAAGTTTAGTCTCCGGACTGCACATCGACTTTCTCGTTATTGTGATTGTGCGGAGCAACGTACTCGTTAGGACAGATCTAACTTATCTTGCAGGTGGGTTGCTTTTCATTTGAACCGTTGTTTTCAGCGTGTTCATCGGCGAGTGGTCACACTCTTATGGTGTGTTGATCCGCATGCTGGCGAGAATCCTCTGAGAGGCGCTGGCTCCATTCTCCATTGTCCTTCTGGAATGGCTCCGCTCAGATATGGTTTCCGTTCCACCGTCGATGACTTGCTTTCAGTGGATCTTTCTTTTATTTAGTTGTAATAAGGGCATTAATGTTTCCTCCCCTTTGGTGTATTTTTTTGTCTTACTTTAGTATTTTTGTTTCAACAATAACATAGGCGATGTTCTCTGCTTGTGTCTCCCACCTGTTTGTAAACAGTATAGTGTATGTTTTCCGACTATAGTTCTTTCTGTGTCGTAGTGTGATTGTCTCTGTTACGTAAAATTTAAGGGTTGTTCTTTTAGAGTGTAACTTGAGTGTAGTTTTTGAGTTGAATTTGAGTTATAACTTGAGTTAAAGTTAGAACTTGAATAAAGTTGAGTAAAATAGAATAAAGTTAAAACTTAAAAAAACGTAAACTTGAATAAAGTTGAAACTTGAGCTGTCTTTTTTTAAATTTTTTAGACAAAAGAATATGCTCTTAGTCTCGGTCGACTAGACTAGTCTATCGACTGTTTTGGTATTGTTTAATGAGCAATGATCAAGCTTAAGGTTTATGTGCGTAGCAAATCTTTTCTATGAGTCTCAATAATTATATTCACCTCCGTACTATTTTAATCTTTACTGGTGAATCCAGTCATTGATTTGGAGTCGAATTTCTTTATATCTAAAACCATTTGTGTCTTGTATAATGTTTCTTGTGAAAGGAAATTCCCCATTTCAATAAAAAAAATTCTCTTTAGTTAAATAACTAGCGAGTTAGGTGGTGGATGGGAGGTCTCACATCCTTCCTTAGTGCATGAAATGGTGATCAAGCTCACTATGTGATCCCCAAACTCACTTTTTGAAATCGGGAATCTGCACACATAAAAACCCATACAGCAGGATAAAATTTAGATTTGTGAAAAAAACCAGGCGACGAAAACCCAGGAGACACAAATAAAAGTAACTTGTTTGAAATAAAAAATAAAATAAAATAAAAAATAATTGGATTTGAAATGTTTGACATTCTTGGTAAAAGTTCATCATATTCGGTCGGTATGGCCAATTTCGTCAATTGCAATCGGAACAGGAGAGACGTGGCAAACGATTGACCCCTCTTGCTTCTCTTTTTTTTTTTTTTTTTTTTTTTTTTTTATAAAAAAAGGGCACCTATTGCTTGTCTGGTTAAAGAAGAAAAAAGAATAATTGATTTTTTTCTTCTAATTTTTAATCAAAAAGGGTGAAAAAAAATGAAAAGAAAAAGGAATTCCCGACGTTTGGGGGAGAGTGCTTTTAATACACGCCCCACTCTCTCTTCTCTCTCATTTCCTCGGTTTCTCCATCTTCTCCTCCTTCTTCCTCTTCGCATATTCCCCTCTCTCTCTCTCCTCTCTTTCTCTCTCTAGCTTCTGCGAAGGTCTCATCTTTCGCTTTCAATTCTCAAAGCCGGAGAAACGTTCTGCAGATTTAATCTTCTCGTGATTTATCCGATCTCGCTCGAAGCCATGAATCCCGAATAGTAAGCTCAATTTTTCCTCGATTTTATTTGTTTATTTGTTTCGGGCATGATCGTGATCTGGAGGTCTTAGAACTCTGCTATTTGTTTGATTATTTAACGGATTTTATTGGATCTGGTGTAATTTTTTCTTAATCGTTTCTTAAATTGCTCTTTTTTTTTTGCCATGGAATTTTTTCTGCCTTTTTCTTTTCCTTGTCTATGTTAATTGGATCGACAAGCTTTGATTTTGTTTGTGGATTAAGATCTAGGTTGTTCGGAATTAGATCCGTTGGCTGGCGTGGGTCAAAATTAGGGTAGCGAATTTTTGTATGAGAATTAGGAATTTGATCAATTGGGGTTATATCCGCAGATTTGTGCAGAATTAGTTTTGAGCATCTGGGTTACATGTTCTAAATGATTGTAATTTCTTCGAAATTTTTGAACCGGAAATTTTGCGGGGTCGTTCTGGAATGTTTACATTTTTTTTCTTTTTAGAATCTAGGCATTGATAAATTTTTCAGTTTCTGTGGCTGCTTTCATTGATGCTTTTGTTGTAATGGTAGCGCGGATAATAATGGTTACGATGTTTTGTTAGAATTCTAGGCTTTTACCGCAGTATGATTTCACATTTGTTTTCTATTTTCGTGAAGAAATCTATGATCTTTATTGAAGCTGAATCTTTTATCCCACGATCACATTCCCATTTGAAGATTCTCGCAAAATATTTATTCCCTTCCTGTGTTCTTTGTATGCAGCGACTATCTTTTTAAGCTTTTGCTCATTGGAGATTCTGGTGTCGGAAAATCCTGTTTACTTCTGAGGTTTGCTGTAAGTTACTTCCCTTTCTCTCTTCTGAGATACGAGAAACAATAAGTTAGGCTTCTGTATCAAGAGTTTTTGTATTTGCACAGAGAAGCAAATTAGTGAATGTTTGTCTTTCTTATTTTAATATTGCACAAGTTGTAGCGGACAAACAATTTTTCCCCAGTTATGCCCTTTGTTATGCTAGCATTGCTGGTCATGGTATTGTTTATTTATTTATTTATTTTTGGCTGAGTAAAGAATTTATTTTTGACAACATATGGCGGTTACTTGGGGCTAAATAGGTGGCTCTTATAGAATTTGTGTGTGTTTATGTGCTTCCTAATTAGCGATTTGAATATGCAATTGCCTCATTTAACCTTCAGTTTGGTGCAATTATAACTAGTTTATATTTTACAAAGATCACTGCGGGTTCCTGATTGTCTTCTATATTTTGGAATTCTAGGATGATTCGTACCTGGATAGCTACATCAGCACCATTGGGGTTGACTTTGTAAGCTTCTGTTTCTCTACACTATTGGATCAGATAACTGATTTCTTTGTCTTAGAAAGCTCTAATCTCTGTATTGGTGTGTTTATATAGAAAATCCGTACTGTGGAACAAGATGGGAAGACTATTAAACTTCAAATTGTAAGTACATCAATTTCTTATTGTTTATTGCTTTTCTGATAATGCTTCTAGTATCTGCAATATTATTATTTGTATGAAATTATAATTTGAATTATTTGCATGAAATTATAATTTGATCAACTAAATTATTCATTAACTTTGTTTTGATATGATAATCACATATCTCTCCGTCAAACACTCTTATGAAGTTTTTGTGAACCTTGTTTGTCCTGGTTTCTGCTACTGCAATTGCTGATTGCCATTTGTGTTGTTGTCTGGACATGCAGTGGGACACTGCTGGTCAAGAACGTTTTAGGACAATTACCAGCAGCTACTACCGTGGTGCACATGGTATTATTGTAAGTGTATTCTTCTTCGTTTCTTCTTATTGTGTTTAGTCTTCATATGTGATATCAGTATAATGTTGTTGGCTTTTTGCAGGTTGTGTATGATGTCACAGACCAAGAGAGTTTCAACAATGTTAAGCAATGGTTGAATGAAATTGACCGTTATGCAAGTGAAAACGTGAACAAGCTTTTAGTTGGAAACAAGTGTGATCTCACGGCAAACAAAGTAGTATCCTATGAGACAGCCAAGGTAAGTCTATGCGATCTTCCCCAGCTGGTTATATATTCTTGTCCCTAGTTATTTAGAACAAACTTCATGCTGCTCTCTTTTGCTCAGGCTTTTGCAGATGAAATTGGAATCCCCTTCATGGAAACAAGTGCCAAGGATGCCACTAACGTAGAGCAAGCTTTCATGGCCATGGCTGCTGAAATAAAAAATAGGTAGTCTTTGATTTTTTTTTTTGGAGGGTACAGTCTTTGATTGGTGTGTCTACCCTTTTTGTTTTTTTTTTTTTTTATGGTTTGACAGGTGAAAACTCGAATCTTTGTATGGTTTTTCTGTTGTGGCATTGCTTCTTTTTTCTTTCTTTCTTTTTTTTTTTTTTTTTTTTTTTTTATAATCATCTCTAAATTCTTTATTTACTTATTACATTGTTGCTGTAGACCGACGAAAGGGAATAAATTATCGAAACAAAAATAGAAACAAACAGGATATGTATTTTTTGTAGAAAATCCGTTACAATAGTCATAGAGCTGTTATGTAGACAGACAGAAACACAGATGGTTATTTTTTTTTTTTTTTTTTTTTTTTTTTTTTTTTTTTTTTTTTTATATAATCGATCTGTTGCAACTTAAGGGGTTTCTTTTGCTCTGAGTATGTGATTGACCATTTTCATATGTTTGTCATTCGTATGTGCAGGATGGCCAGCCAACCAATGAATAATGCCCGGCCTCCAACGGTGCAGATCCGAGGACAGCCTGTGAACCAGAAGTCTGGTTGCTGCTCTTCTTAGAAGGGGAAAGAAAAAAGTACTGGTGGAGATGATATGTTAAACCGTATTTTCTGTGGCATGTAAAACTAGTTCTCTATCTTAATGCTTTGATATAAAAAGATAATTGTCCTTCATGATTTGTCTTTCTTGTCAGCACTTTGTTAAAGCCTTCCATTCTTTTCAATGTATTTCATTCTGAAAAACATTTGTACAAATTAGGAATATTGGTGGGTAGCAGTATTTGCCTTGTTATGTTCCTCTCTATTGTTTCTTACATTTTGTCTGATGGCTCAAACCTAATTTGACTTGCCTTTATCTTTGGCTAAGTGCCAAAGAAACGTGATTCAATTAAAATCAATTTAGTAGGCGATGGACTAAAATCGGTTTTGCTCTTCATGTACGTTTTTGAAATTAGCATCTGTGCCATGGATAATCGGTTTCTCGAACCCTTTCACTAAATATCACTTTTAAGTAGAAAAAAATCTTTCTTGTGCTTTTATGTTTTCAAAGATCCTTTGCAATGCCTTTCGGAGAAGGCAAACCTTTCTCTCTATTTTTTTCCTAAACGGAAAATGACTAATATAAACCAAATTGTTAAACAGAAGTAAACGAGAAGAGAATAGTCTTCAGGTCTATGGACAATTATGGGTCAAACTTTGGTAATAGTGTCCTATATTTCGCTCTTGAGTAAACATTAGGAAAGGAATGTAAACAATTTTGAAACCAAATTAAGCCAAAGTTGGACCATCCTAATCAACTACGATCTGCAAGGAGATTCACTTTATTATTAATAATAATAATTGTCAAAAGAAAAGAACACCCTTTATTGATCGATATACTGCGACTTTCGATGAAACTCCTGGCGAAGCAGGAATTCTGCAGGAATTTTACCAGTAGCCATCACAAGAGCATGTCCCATTCTTAAAATGGTGAAACCTTGTAGTATCTCTAACAATAATTTCCCGTTTCTCTATTGCTGAGATGAACATGGTAGCACTATGGCAATCCCCACAAACTCTCAAGTTTTTGAAAACTCGGATTGGAATCCCCTCGGGCACTTTCAGGAGCCCGAAAGCGATTGCTAGCTTTTCGCTGTGCCGTAACAGAAGCTGCTCTTTTTGCTCCTGTCCCACATCATGCAATGCGAATTCAAGATCAGGAACGTAGCCAGCCAACTTCATTTTCTTGTCCAACTCGTCTAGTTTTTCATGTATAGACGCTAGTTCTGGTTGAACCCTGTCACCTGATCTGAACTCATGAACTACACTCTTTACCTCAATCCAACTGTACCCCGGTGTCTTAACTACCTTATTTTCTTTCATTGCCCGCCAAACTTTTGACACGCAATCCCATCTGCTCGCCGCAGCATAAACATTAGCAAGCTGGACGTAGCCAGCTGCACTTGATGGATCAAGAAGAAGGAGATTCTTGGCAGCATGCTCAGCCAGCTCTAAGTTCTTGTGAATCCTACAAGCACCCAAGAGGGTTCCAAAAATAGCAAGATTTGGTTCAAATGGCATTTTCTTTATCAAAGCTACAGCTTCAACAAGCCTACCAGCTCGGCCGAGAAGGTCAACCATACATGTATAGTGCTCGGGCTTAAGTTCGATTCCATAGTCCCTTACCATGGAGTCAAAATATTGAATACCGGTATGTACTAATCCGGCATGATTGCAGGCTAATAAAACTGCCACAAAAGTGACTCGATCGGGTTTTGTTCCCCCTTTTCTCATCTTATCAAACAGATTGAGAGCTTCTAGACCTGCCCCATGCTGAGCATAACCGCTAATCATTGCATTCCAAGTAACAACATCTTTTCTAGGCATCTCAAGAAACAACTTCTGGGCATCCTCCAAATCTCCACATTTACAGTACATGCTAATCAATGAAGTCCCTGCAGTTGTATCATAACACAAATTGGATTTATAAATCAACTGATGTACTTGCTTGCCCATTTGCAGTGCAGATAGGTTACTACACCCGAGTAGAACACTGCTAAGACTCGACGAATTTGGTCTAACTCCAAATCCAATCATTGCCCGAAAAAGCTTCAAACCTTCCTCGGCGCGACAATTTGCAACATAGCCCGCAATCATTGCATTCCATGTCACTATATTTTTGATAGGCATGTCATGAAACAATTTCACTGCCGATTCAATCTTCCCAAACTTCATGTAACCAGTGACCATTGCAGTCCACGCTACAACACTCTTTTCGGATGCCAACTCAAACAACTCCACAGCAGAGTCCAAATCCCCACATTCAACATATCCCGAAATCATGGCGCTCCACGAGACACCGTTCTTCTCCGGCATCTCGAGGAACAATTCGCGTGCTTTGTCCATCTCTCCGCTCTGGGCAAAACCCGAAATCATCGCGTTCCAAGACGCAGTGTCCCTCACGGGCATCTTGTTAAAGAATTTCATGGCAGAAAAAACACCGCAATTCTGAAGATGACAAACCAACATGGTGTTATAAGAAACAGAATCTGGTTCAGGAATTTTCACAAACAGTTCCTGGGCTTCCTTCATTTTGCCAGGCTTCTTCGAAAACCCAGCTAAAATCGAATTCCAAGTGATCGTAGTCTTAACTACCATATACTCAAAAACTCTAAGAGCAGAATCCAAATCGCCAGATCGAATGAGTCTCGTGATCAGCTTATTCGACGAAACGATATTTTGATCAAGCGGTGGAGATTTATTCACGTAACTGGGGGGAACCAAGTGGGTTCTTTGCGGTAGGGAATTATTGGGCGGAGTGGATTCTTTATGTGGATTGGCATTTCCGTATTGTGGCGTCAAAGAGGAGAGGAAAGTTGCTTGGTGTTTGGTTCGCGGGAAAATTTTGAGCAAGGAAAAGGAGGGTTGAATTGTCGTAGTCCTTCTAAGACAGTTATTCATTTATGATGGTTTTGGTCAGAGGAAACGAATTTCGGAAGTTTTAGACTAACGTCATCCAGAACATAAACGACGACAAGAATGCGACGAAACATTTTGAGAACAGAACAATAGGAAGATGAAAACGACAACAATCGAAAAATGATGGGAACATAAATTAAATCGATGAACGGATGACATGAAAAACGACAGCAACGTAAAAACGACAATGAGGTGCAATTTGACTAGTGGAGGAAAACAATGATAAACTACATAACAACTCTAAAAAGAAAGAAAAGAAAAGAAACAGTAATGTGAAACACGACGAGAGAAAAAAGATAGCAACTATAAACATGACAAACGATATTAAAATAAAACGACGAAAAATGTAATAACGAAGGAAATGAAAAACTAAAGTAAAGGTGAAACGACAACAAATGATGAAACGAACGTAAAAGGCCATAAGGCATCAATGAAAACGACAATCACGGGAAACCGTTGACTGTTGAGGCATTGACTAATGAAGAAACGAACGCAAATCACTAGTAAAATCGAAACAATAGCATAGGAAAAGCCATTAAATAAGGAAAATGAATAATTTTAAAAATTCTCCCTGAATTATGATCCTTTTAACACTTTACTCCCTGAATTTTAAAAAGTAACATCTGTTCCCCCTGAACTTTGTTCCGTTAACAAGTTTTTCTTTTCTGTTACAATGAGTGACGAAATTCGTCACGTGTCAAGCACATTACTCATCTAAGAAGGGTATTATCGTAAATTAACCTGCAATAACCCTTCCAAGCGTCAAAGAAAGAAAACCTAAATCTTGAACAACATAAAGATCAAGAAGAACAATGAATCCAAGACGGAATCATCAGAGTTGAAAGGCTCCAAACAGATACTACAAGAGTCTTCTTCGAAGTTGTCATCGGAAAGAAGCAGCGATTGCGATGAAGACAAAGACGAAGCTGTGATCGCCATTGAATTCTCTGCATAACCAGAAGAAGACGAAGACGAAGAAGAAGCGAAAGCCGCCATTGAAGAGTGAAAGTGAATGAATGATATGCAATGTTGAAGAGAGAGAGTTTATGGAAGAGAGAAGAAGTAGAAGGGAGGTGAAGAAGAAAGGAACCCTAGAAAAAGTGGTAGAGAGGGAAAGAGAAAGTGAGGATGACAGTCAAATAAAATATGATGAATTTTTTGATAAAAATGAGAAATTATCTGATTAGGAGGGTATAAGTGTACTTGCGCTTTTAAATCTCACTAAATAAGTGACATGTGACAATTCCGTCACTTATTATAACAGAATGAGAAAATTTGTCAACGGAATAAAATTTGGAGGGAACAGATGTTATTTTTTAAAATTCAGAGAGACAAAGTATTAAAAAGAGTCACAGTTCAGGGAGAATTTTTAAAATTAATCCTAAGGAAAAAGACGAACTTTAAAATTAGAAACAACGGAAATCAATAACAAAATGGGAAACATCAGTGAATGATCAAATGGAATGGAATGATAAACGACTATAAATAGAATTAACGACTTGAAATTTGAGAAAAACGACAAAAAATGAAAACAACATTAAACGGAATATTAAAAGAAAAAAAATCAACACGTGGATGTTCTCTGGTCGTTCTAAATTTTAACTAAATTCTAACTAAAATGGTTAAAAAAACTATTTTGACTTAAAAACTATTTTAGTTAATAATTTTTTAATGAGTCACTCTAATTTTATTTTATTTTAACTAAACATAAATTATTTTAATATTTTTTTGAGTTTAAAATATAATTAACTTTTTTTAAACTCTTACTTTACGTCAAAATAAATAATAAAAATAATAAAAATAATAAATAGCTAGCTACTTCTTACTTAGTGAAAATACTTTAGCCTAAATAATTAATAATTTAATTAATGGTTGGAGTGGAAAAAAGTAAAAAAACCAAAACAAAACAAAAACTAAATCATTAGCTATTTTAACTAAGAATATAAAATGGCTAGCGTTGTTGAAATTCCTCTTAATTGTTCATCCTTGAGGCTTCAATTCAATAGATTTAACCGAGAGGAGCAAATTTGTTATAACTCGCAAATTGCGTTAATACAGAAATATGACTTTCAAATATTCGACCAACAACAGATCTCATTCTAATAAATATTTATTGGATTGTTTTCCCTTTGAACCCAAAAAATATATTTTATAAAGGTTTGATTGATGAAAAAAAAAAAAAAACCTTGTGAAAATATTTTCCTTCTCCCTCCAAAATACTCTTTTTTTAGGAGAATGATAATTTTAGTGAACACAAACACTCTTAAAAAACCTAAGATAGGAGGGGAAACATGTTTTTTTTTTTCACTTTCTTTGGAAAATAATTACTCCCATGAACCATTAGAAGCCCATTTGGAAAATATACTAAGTCTATGATTCTCATATTTAAATTTTAAATTTTATATGAAAGTTTTATACTGTAGTAAAATCAATAATTTAAGTTTTGAATATATGAAACAAACGAACTCTAAATCAACTCTTCTCAAGTTTAATTTTATCTGCAACCCTTTATTCGATTTTTCTCAATAATACGTATTCACATAAAAATGCCAAGTTTGATTTAAAATCACAAATGTTTCTAGAAGAAAATGTCTAGTGGACTAAGTTGTGATACTGAACAATATACTATTTATTGCATCAAACCTCTTCTCAAGCTTCGATTATATCCCTATTCGCAGCTCCAATGGTCTGACAAGAGATCCAGGACGTTGCGATAATCACATCTCTGCAAAATATACATCTATACGTAAAAAAGAGCAAGCAATTCTTCAGGGAAAAAAAACAGATCAATTGGAGATGCTCTATATTATTATCCTACTACTTTAGATTTTATTTACGTGCAATTATATTTGAAAAAATATAAAATTTATTTTTAAGAGTACATGAATCTAAATTTTTATACTTTATTTTTAATAAATACTCTTTTATTAATATAATTATTTGACTAAAAATGTTATGAATCAAAAATAAAAATAAAAATCTTAACTCATAAAAATTCTGACTCACTCGTGTACTTTCAAAAATATTTGTCAATTTTGAGAATTGAGAATGCAATAAACACAAAGTACAAAACAAAAGAAGGCCCATTAAAAAAAAATCACACCGACACAAGCTTTAATTCTAATAACTAGAGGAATGCCACTATTAAAGACTTGATTTATTCACATTTAGTTACATTGACGGAATGATAATACGAATGGTAATAAAAAGAAATTAGAATGTGCTGAAATCATAATAATTCTTTAATTTGATTGGAGTTATGAAATCAATACTTTAATAAGAAATATGTTGTTTAGTTGATGACAGAATAGAATGGAAATACACTGTATTTTAACAAAAAATACTCTTAATTAATAATCATATATAATTCAATACTTAATTAATTAAAACAGTAAAAAAATAATTTAATTATTGAAATAAACTTTTTATTTGAAGGATAAAAGTTAGAATTTCAATGGTAAAAAGAAATAATATTTGATTTTTTTAATATAATAATAAATTATCACATGCTCAAACATGATCACTTTTGGCATTTATCATGATATGTATCGAGTAAAATGATCACTTTAAACCATGTCAATAATAAAAATGAACCAATATATCATTTAACTACATATATAATCTCAAAATATAATCATACACCAAAACTAGTAGATTCACTTATATATAGCATCCATCATCTGCCAAGTCAAGCAAGTTCCTAATTAATACAATTTAACAAAGTTAAGCATAATCCTAATTACTTATAATATCAAAAGAGAAATGCATAGCACATACATTACAATATCAAAAGATAAATGTAACTATGAAACTAAACAACCACCCTTAAATATCACTAGCAAGAAAAACTCTAACCCACTCATCTTTTTTATCATTCATCAAGAATACTAAAAAAGTATGAAACTAAAACATCATCTTTTATCATCATGCAAGCTATTTTATGTCGTTCTATTGTATTAACGGTTGTGGTCTTTTATGTTTTTCCATCAGTATGTTTAAATACGATTCTCCAACGACGCAGTCACGTATTCTCTACAACCTATAAGATGCTCGACTAAGATTACTATTCGCTACTGTTGTCAGAAGAAGAGGAAGTTTAACCATGAACTCATCAAACTAATCCCCAAGACACTTGGCAGCATAATAAGAAAATTATCTTCTTTCTGGTGTTCCATTTGCTTCAAGTGAGACGCCTTGACCATAATTTGCTGGGATATTTTGGTTTTCCGGATCACCAGCGGTGGCAGAAGTAACTGTTGCATGGTCAGAATTACCAGAGGAACCACCAACAACCAGATGTTGATCTTGCCCCATCCTTTTGTCCGGAACAACATTATCTTCTTCGTTCACATCTATGACGATCGTTTTCTTTTGAGGACGTCATCTTTAGTACAAGAGGTGGCTCCCGGAGCACAATCATCATTGCTGTCAATGATGAGAATAGCTGCAAGAAACATATCTTAAAATAGATAATAAATTCCAAAAGTTGTCACACGGGTCAAATTTACAGTTTCATTTATCAATAATTAGTAATTTCTCATGCTTCCCATAACAGAAAATAATGAGATTTTTATTTTAAGGATTCGTCTCTGGTTTTGAATTATAATTTTTAATTTTTTACAGTATTTTTTTCTCACAAAAAATTTAAATTTTAAAAATCAAAATCATAATTCTAAATTTATAAATTAAACGTCCCGTAAATTTCCCAAAATAAGAGCGGTGGGATACTCAGAGAAGCATATGAAATTACTGTTTGTGTTTAAAAACGACACTGATATTATCACTTCACATTTGCTTAAAACCTTGGTTTGATTTTGACGTCCAGTTGCTATTTTGAATAATTAACGGTATATATTAACTTCGAACCTTCCTCGTGTGATAAAATGATATCTTACATGGAAAAAAAATGATCAAATCGCGCACGAAAAGATTCATACAACTATCTGGATTCCCACGCCAGTTGTTCCGACTCTAATATCCCAAGGTTGACCAAACTCAATTCACTGAAGATGTTGCTCCTAATTTTTGCCGCCAACAGACCATTACAACAAGGTGAGACTAACGTGCATTTGTATTTAGAAACATCTGTAGCAGGCGATGGCTAAATTTTTTATTCTAGTGTTTTGATTGTGAAACTTAGGATCGAAAAAAACACAAAGAAATCCTTATAAAACTACTAAAAATCTCACTAAATCAGGAAGATTAAACTCACAGGAATTAAAACAAACACATCAAAGGCACAACAACAGTTTTGGAGGGAAAAGACCCACAAAATTTTCCAAGAACCTAATCTCACCCTCGTGAATTCCCAATTCTCAAATCCATAACAATCTAAAATCCCAAAAAAAAAACAAGAAAAAGTACAGAGCAAGGAAGTACGCTAAAAGTACCTCTATTTTCAGCGTTTATAATCTTATGTATCAGCCTCCAACTACAAAATCCGTTCCTCCAACTTCCCAAATTCTCTCTTCCATAGCTCAAGCTCTTCCTCAACCCCTTCTTCGCAGACTCCAACTCCCCATTCTTCCTCTTAAACGCAACAAGATCAGAGCTTTTTTGGTTCTCCGCCATCTTAACTGTTCTGAGAAGCTTCTCGTACCTCTCTTTAGACTTCTTTGCACGCTCCTCTGCCAATTTCGCCCTTTCATCCACCATTGTCACTCTCCCACATTGCGTCGATGATCTCCCTCAGATCCTCGAGCGATCGACCTCCCTCAGATCCTCGAGCTCGGCGCACCTGGCCTTGAAACTCTTGAGCTCCTCCTCCGCTTCGGCCTTCTGGAATCGCTCAATCCCCAGAGGAGACGATTGAAAGGAAAAGGAGACGCAGAGATTTGGAGGAAAGAAGAAAAGGAAGCGAGAAGGAGATGAGCGGCCGCCTGAGGAGATCCTGTGGAGCTCGATACAAGATCCTATGGAGCTCGATTCAAACCGGTCGAGCAAGTAAAAGGGGGCTAAGGCTTCCTTTCTCTCAATCGGGGAGATTTTAGACAAAATTAATGAGGCTTATGAGGCTTGAATGGAAAAGCCTTTCCTTTACCCCGAGTGAATCGCAATTCACTCAAATTGAGTAAATGAGCTTTCCTACAAAAAGCCATTTCTGATCAAAAAAGTGGAACCAAAGGATGGAATTGGGTGGAATAGCCTTTCCTTTCCATTCCATTACTTCCAACCAAACACACCCTCATTTCCTTTCATTAGATTCGTTCCCTTCCTTTCTTCCTTGGAAAATCAAATAAAGAAGCTCAAAAAAAAAAAAAAAAAAAAAAGCAACGGGATTTAAAGGATAAAAAGGTAATAATTCGAAGCAGGAATAGTAATTTAGTAAATGAGTAAAAGCAAACACTAAATATTAAAAATAACTGAATGTGTTCTCAACCTATTCCAAATCAAAACTGACTCCATGACTTCTCGGTTCAAGACATAAGATCTAAAATTTACACTCAAAAAGACATAACATTAAAAATAGTTTTTAACGTTCATGTGGATAATCAGGATAGCCCGCCACTCAATCTTTTTAAGCGATATCAGTCCCCCAACGGATGTAACGCGGTGATGGGAGAAATGGAAGAACCTCATTTACCACCCAAGGTTGGGAACTGACCAGGATCTTCGATGGATGGGGCTGCCACATTGCTAGATGAGTAACCTCCGCCATATCCACCTCTTGAACCACGGCCACGGCCTCGACCACGACCACCAGGGGTATAGTACCTCTCCCCTTCAGCTGGCTTCAGAAACTCATTGATGCTGAGAGACTACAACCAAAAATGTATTCAATTGTTAGTATTGTGAACCCGATAAGTATTGTAACATAGAAAAGCAGACAATAAATCTGCACGCTTACAAACTTCAATGAAGACATGGGCGCATGCAAGAAATAAATAAATAGACGAATAATTAAATAAATAATTATGCAGAAACAGGGACAAAACATTTAAAGAAAAAAAAAAAACAAAAAGAAAAGATAGAAGAAACCTTCTTTGCTTTCTCTTCCTTTTCAGCTGCCTCTTTACGCTTATCCTTTTCAGAACCCTGAAAAGCAAATGCAGTGTAAATATAAAGAATGTGTCGTGTGAAATAAATTATCCTTCTCACAGGTGGTAAGCATAGCATTACCAGTTTGATGAAGATTTCATCATTTCCCTTTTTACTTGAAAGCTGTTGCATGGACTCAAATTCTTTTGAGTCAACCTTCCTTTCCTCAGTCTTCAGGGCAAGCAGAGCCTTTCTCTTCTCTTCAAGGACCTTCTCATATTCTTCTAGGGTCATCTCCTATCAAAACAAGCAACAAGGATACAAACATAACAATTAGATGATGAAGGTACTGAAAAAATGATGTCCTAGAGTCACAAATACATATTCAAGACACGCTCCTATGCTTTTGATAATAGTCACATGTAATTGCAACATATAGAAAGGCATAGCTATTAGTGGCACAATATACACAGAAAACAAGAAATTTAATTGAAGCAGTGCCAAAGATTAATCGACACTGTGTAGTGTGGGTGCCAAGCACTCGTGTAAGACAACCAAATATCTCTTCAATAGTCCATCGACAAGTAACATGAGGATAGGACCCGTTAGTTAATGCATTAGCTATGCTCAAATGTATTAAAAAAATAATAATAAAATAACATTTAACCAAGAAATTTGATTATAACCTTGTCTTCCGGCTCCTTCTCTTCTGCCTCCTTCTCAGGCTTTTCCTTGTTGGCATCCGAAGCTTCCTCATCTCCCAACTTCTCAGCATCAACATTCTTTTCATTTTCCACAACAGGCTCTTCAACCTCCCTAATTTAGCAAAAATGGGCAATATACAAATCAACATAACACATAACACATAACAATAATAAGTACCATAGTATCAAATTGAGTCCATGAATATTAAATAGAAATTAGATGCTTACGGAGCAATCTCATCAGTGGGAGTTCCCCAGTTCCCACGACCAGACCCTTCCCGCTTCAACTCATTTCTGTTTATATAAAGTGCAAAAGTTATCAACAAGGTTTTAAAAGGCGGAATCGGGCCTTAAAGGCGCTGCTGAGGAAATGCCAATAAACAAAATTTAAAAAAAAAAATAGTTATGAAAACTAAATCCACATACTCAATAATCATTAAAAACAAGAAATTTAACCAATCCATCCACAAAAAGACAAGTCCATTTCACTGTTAGGGGCATAATTAAGATTGTTCATTTGTCTTTTTTGAGTTAGGGTGACTTAAGTTCAGATCTTAATTTGAGTTGAGATGTATTTAAGTATGGTTTGAGTTGGGACTCTAATTTGAGTTTGTGTTTGGATGTGCACATTTTGAGTTATGGTTTGAATTGACAATCTATTTTAATTTGTGTTTGGGTAGGTCAAAACTTGAATTTGTATTTGGATAGTATTTTAATAAAAACTCAATGGTGATGAAAAATTTTAATAGGGTATATGAGTGGGATTTTATTCGTCTCTTCATTGTGAACGCATAGAAAAAAAATCATCTCAATCGAAATTAAAACGAAAAAGTCATGGCGCTTTTAAGAATAAAAAAAATATTATTCATTAACTTGAGTTTGAGTTTAGGAACTTGAGTTAAAGGGGGAACTTGAACTCAGATTTTAACCCCAAACTCATGCTAAAACTCAAGTTCAAACTCAACTTTAAAAAAAAAAACATGAACTTGAATAAAGTTGTAACATGAGTTCAAATTTTTTTGAGTTTGGGTGCAAATAAACAAGCCCTAAAAATTGCTTCCTTCTGATGTTTCTTAGGCCTTTTTTATTTTTTTATTTTTTATTTTTATTTTTTGCGGCTGGTCTGGTTGTTGGAAGGAGAGATGAGAAGGAGAGAACGTGAAAGAGGAGGCTGCTCTCTCTGATTTCTTTAGTTCTTTTAAATGATTAAGGGCCTAGTAAATATGTGCTGCTTTCAAATTTTCGGCCCAACTGATAATTTGGTTAAAAAACCCCTACAAAAACTAGTAACAAAAGAGGCGTAAGCCTCATCCACCGCTTGAGGCGCAGCTTCCATTCGTGTGCCTCACATGGATGAGGTGTAAGCCTCACATGGATGAGGTGTAAGCCTCACCTCCCATCCCGTGAATTTTGATCGCCTTGCAATGAGGCACACCCCGAGGCGAGGCGCTTTTAAAAACAATGGTTATCAGAATAACTAGGCAGCCATGAGTGATAACTAAATGGCAGAACAAAATGAAGAAACACTCACCCATGTCCAGTACCACTGCGGCAATGGTTATCAGAATAACTATGCAGCCATGAGTGATAACTAAATGGCAGAACAAAATGAAGAAACACTCACCCACGTCCAGTACCACTGCGGCGCTCATATATCCTCCTAGGGCGTTCTCCTTCCACAGCCTCACCATTGCTAAAACCACCACGGCGGCCACCACGGAATGAACCACGAGGCGAACCATAGCCACGCCTTTCAGTGGGCTTCCCTGAGTCCCCCTCCTCAGACGGCCTGTACCCTCCAGAAAACCCATTGTTGTTGCCAAATGAATTATCGCTGTTGTTAGAATCTCTGTTGAATCCACCTCCACCACGACCACGTCCACCATAGCCGCCACGTCCACCACCGCGACCTCCTCCACGGCTAGTTTCATTCTTGGCCTCCTTCACTGCACAAATAGCCAAACAAAGATATAAAATCTAAACGCAAAAATCCACGCAAAGCACAGTATTAGATACGATTAATGTGTTATGCATGTCACCTATAACATTAATAGGAGTAGTTCTGGAACATCGTGCCGGTTTGAATGAACAGACCACAAACTTAAAACACCTAGAAGAAAACAATCCACCAACAAAAATAACTAAATTCTGAATAATGCCCTTGATAATTAAAAAGTAACATACGCGCAAAAGCATACAAGTCCAGACAACAGTAATGACATGAGAGGCTTTATGCAAAAGTAACTTACATTCTCCATAAAATAAATTAACGTTCAAAAAAGAAACTTCCATCGGTTAAAATTGAGAAAAATTCAAAGAATATTCCCTTCATTAATAAAGCCACCGACCGACTACAATCCATCAGCATAACAGCACATATCCAAGTGAAAAAGAAAAGTTCTGATTCCCAATAATCGGAAAAACACAACTGGATTTAATTACGACATTTTAGAATCAGTAAGCTAAATTTTTTTTTAAAAAATGTAACACCAAAATCCTGCGATTTAAGGGTATAAACATATGAAAGCGAAAAAAGAGTACAAGAACTACACATAAACAATACATAAATCTAAAGGTACAATATTTTCACTTTTCTCAGCAAACAAAGAGAGAGTTTAGTACAAACCAATCCACAATCCAAATCCGAAGTCACAATAAGAAAAATACAATAAGAACAGAGGCTCACCGGCTTGGGCAGGAGGGAGCGGCTTGGAAGGCAGCTTGGCGGGCTTAGCCGGCTGAGCCGCCGCCGGAGCCTGCGGCTTCTTCGGCTGAGCCGGAGGGAGCTTCTGCTGAGCAGCAGCTATGAGGAGGCTTGGGTCCTCGTTGTCGTCATCTAACAAGAGATCGAAAGGATTCGCGGTCGCCATTTCTTGAGCTCCGAAATTAAAAAATCCGATCCAAAAACCCTAGAACTCTCGCGAACCTTCCTTCGAACAGCAACCACGGAATCCTCAGTTCTTATTCGAATCCATCGATCGACGATTGCGAAATAGTTAAAAAGATAGTAGGATTGAGTGTTTGGGTGAGAGGAAAGTGATGGAAAGTAGAGAGAGAGAGTTAGAGAGAGTTAGAGAGAGAGAGAATGAAGCGAGCAAGTGATTATGAGGCTGTGGAAAACCCTAGCCAAAGCGGCAGAGAAATAAGAAAGTGGCTAAACCTAATCTTAAAAACCCTACTGGGTAGTTTTAGGTTGCGGCCGGGTTCACTTTAACTACGTTGTGTTCGTCGTCACGGCCCACATGAGTACGTCCGATTTGGCAAATTTTCATAAAAACAAACGGAAAAAAAAAATACTAATCAGTAATTAATTTCCTTATAGAAAATTAGCTTAATATTCTTACAGAAAAAAGGGGGCCAAATATTCCCTTCGACGACAAATTGAATATTATATTACATTACATATATAAAGTGGTGGTGAGGTATCATTTTATCATAAAGCGGAAAATTTAAGTATATTTTTCACTAAGTGGAATCATAACTCAAATTTATTAACAGTATTTTTTTTTATAAAAATTAAAATTTAACTTTTTTATTATATATTGAGTTTGAGTCTACTTTTTTAAGGGTTTGAATTTTTTGACTAAGGAAAAAAATACTAAAGGCGTATCCGCATAAGAGAAAGGGCGCTATGAATTTTAGATATCATAATATTAGAGGTAGAAGTTGAGGTCTAAAGATTAATTTTCCTCAGCTCTAAATTTCAAGAAAGAAAATATATCATTTAATTTTAGTTTTAATTTTCCAAGAAATATGTCACGTAATTTGGCATCCAAAAACAAAACTGTACATGTTAGTTTTAGATAACAACAAAACATGAATAAATTATGTTTTCAGCAACAACAAAAAGAAAGTCAATAAATTTATTTTTTAAAACAAAAAAATATATATTTTCTTTAGTGAATTAGTGCGGAGAAGTGTATTGCTTAAACCAGTCCAGCACACAGCTGCATTGGCACGCATTTCATGGCTGCTGGGTGTTTGAGGTTGGTACAGCCCATTATGATCACAGATTGGGCCGGGCTTCCAATCAAAGACGAGCAGTTTCCAAGGATTGGGCCAGCCTCACCATCCGTCCTCTGCGCAATTTGTCGCTGAGGGAATGTGTAAATAGAGTATTTATGAAACAAAAATAAGTAAATAGTAGATTTTAAATCTATTTTTACGATTAATAAAATATTTTTTTCACGTGATTTTTCTTTTTACAACTGTTATTTACTTAATTTAATTTTAAAAATATATTATTTACTCTAATTTTCGTTTGCTCTTTGCATATTCTAAATTATTTTAGATTTTTATCGTTGTGTCGTAGATTGAGAGAAGGGTGGAGGCGAAAAAGGTCAAGGAACTTCTGGAATTAAAGATCTCTTATGAGCATAAAGAGATGATAACTGAGCTCTTTAGGTTTCATTTGGTAAGAGGGATGAAGAGGAAGGATGGACATGATTGGGTGGATGGAGAATGTAAAGAATGGAGAGGATTATAATAAGAGTATGTTTATACTTCACGAAATTAATTCGTGAATCATATCACGAACCTACGAAATGGCGACACATGGTCAGTGCGTCATAACTACACACGAGCAAATTACCAAAAAGTCCAGAGTTTCATTTCCTTCTTTTTTTCGCTAAAATGAGAATTCATTCACAAAATAAAAGAAAATCTAACAATACATAAAAGAGCTTTGGCTCTTTTTTATGAGGTTGCCCCGTGGCAGCCCCTCAATTAGCTCTTTTTTATTTTTTATCTTTATTTCTTTGTGAATTTTTTTGTTACATTTTATTTTTTTATCTATTTTTTAAAATATAATGTTCCTCACACTACTCCTATAAGAGTAATTTTTTCGCATGTATTCTTATTTTATTTTTAGTTAGTTAAAATAATTTTTTTCAAATGTGTCCCGACTTAATTTTTTCGTCAATTGTTATCTTTACACATATTTATTTTTAAAATAAATTTAAAAATCTTTAATTGGTTGTATAAGTGAATTTCTCATTATTTGGTAAACAATAAGCTCTTCAAGTGTCTTCAATATAGAAATACGTGCAGAGTACGTTACAAAATTAGTAATAAAGAAAAACAGACAAAGGAATTCTCCTCCTTCCACGCCTTTTCCTCTGTCCTTCAACCCCTCATCAGATTTGCAGCAATATTACTCCATCTTTCTCATCCCTAAAAAACAATACTTAAAAAATTTCCTCATCTCTCATCCCTTAAAAAACAAAATTTATAGTGGGTGCATTTAGTAGTGCTTCTTGGAGCCCAAAATCACTTCTCTAGCCATCAGAAGCTGATAATGGTGTTTGGTAAAAACCATAAAAAGTTATCTTTAAAGAATTTTTAAAGAATCTGCAGCTAAAATAAAAAACAGCCCAAAGACAACTTTGACTTTTAAATTATGCGGGAATCAACATAGTACAATTAATGATTATCAACAAAGTTATATTAAATAATTAATTAATAATTAATAAATAGATATACTTAATAACTAATAACTATTAAATAGATAGTAATTATTTAATTATTAATTAAATATTAATTTATTACTATCAAGCTTTTAATTTTGTTAATTATAATCTATTAATTAGTAAATAGTTGGTAAATAAAAAATAAATAGTAATTACTTAATTGATAATTAATATTAAATTATAATTATCAATATGTAATGTATTAATCAATGATAATTAATAATTTATGATTAGTAATTAATCATTATAAAAATAATAATTATCAGATATATTAAATAATAGTTTATTAAATAAACATTAGTAATTAATCAACTAATTATTTAATTATGTAACTAAAAGTTAATAATTACGTACAATCTAATAAATATAAGTACATTACTAACATAGTAATTACTTATAATTAGTTACTAATTACTATTTTTAATTATTTAGCATATTAACTTATTATATATATTTTTTAATTACTAATGTACTCATTAATGATAATTTATCCATTATTATTATATTATTAATATATTAATTTTTATTTGCTAAATAATTATTAATTATTAATTATTTTATATATTAATTTAAAATTATTAATTACGGTCATCTTAACTACCCACAGTAATTCAACCACAGAATTTACCAAACACTATTACACTGCTTTTGGAACTAACAACACTTGTATAATTACAGTTTACCAAAACTATTGTTTCCTTCAGCATAACTAAAAGTAATTTTTTCATAATCTACAACACTACCAAACTGGCTCAATATAGTATGCTAGATTTAAGGGCTTTGGTTTTTTTTTTTTTGGCAAGGCAGAATTCGTTCAACAGCCCAACGCCCCAAAGGAAGATAAAAACTAAAGGTGCGTTTGGTTACAGTGAGGGAATGGGAATGAGAATGGTAATGAGAATAGAATGGAAAAGAAAATTGATTCATTTATTTGGTTGTAATTTTAAGAATTCTCTCGAATGGAACATAAATATTTTCATGTTGACAAACTTACCCTTATGTTATATATAAAACTAATATTTTATCTATCAATATAATATATAAAATGTAATATAATATAATAAAGAAGACGAACTCAGGTATAGCGATTCTTATTGTTTATGTCGATGACATTGTTGTTACTGGGGATGATGCAGAAGCTATATCATATAAAAAAAAGCAGCTAAGAGATAAATTGGATATAAAAGATCTTGGAAAGTTGAAGTATTTTCGGGGCATCGAAACAAATAACCAGCCAACTATATATGCAGCCTGCCTTCCTCTCATCTTCCTTATAGAACCTTAGAATTAACGAGATCTAGAGTCTTGGATGAATCCTCTTGAAATGGGTCGATCAACCCTAGAAGACTCGATGGCTTAACAGCCCAGTGAATAACCTGATTCAGAGAGATAACCCGGTCTTTAGCCCCTCACAAATGAAATTCTCAAAATCCATTGAAGAAAGAAAAAAGAATGTATTTTTCTGAAATAATTATTATTCAGAATTGTAATTTGCAGTAGTATAAGTATAGCCGGTGACCTGTAATAAAATTAAATGGAGACCATTTGTAAGCAACCTCTACCCCACAACATTCAATATTAAATCAATATATTATAATTTATAACTATATTATAAATTAATTATTATATTATTATAACTATATTATATTATAATATTTTTTATTATATATTATATTATATTATATTATAAGATATAACTATTATATAATATATTTTAATTATATTATAATATTGAAGGGTAATTATGGAAAAAAATAAAAAAAAATAACTTAGAATGGTCATTCCTCCCATATGAGGAAGGAATGTTGATTCACCCAAAATGGGTGAATGACCATTCCTTTTGAATGATCATTCATTTCTTATAAATTCAACCAAATATCAAACAAGAATTCCATTCCATTCTATTCTATTTCATTCCTTTCCACCCAACCAAACACACCCAGGGATATGTCATTTATAGTGTTTCTTTCTTCTCAACTCCCAATTGTTTTCTTTTGGTGTTCTTTAGCCTTTCTTTATTCATGCATGTTTTGTTTCAATGATCCCAAAACAATTTTTTTCTCACTTTCTTTTAACAGCGGCACCATCGCCGTCGTTGCCGCATGTTCTCCTAGTCTATCCTCACCACGTTCTTTTTTAGCAGTGGCATCGTCATCGTCACCATTGTCGCCCTTGCCACAGTTTCTCCCGGTGCTCACCATGTTCTCTAGCGTTCTAACCCAATTATTTCTCTCCTCTAGCTGACCTCTAGAGAAGCATGAGGAAGAAGAATTCTCATATTACTCTTATTCAGTTTTTTTCATTTTATTTTATTTTTCTTAAAAAATGAGGTGCACATGAGTTCCCTTTAGTTTCTTACATTTCATGAAATTCGAGTTAATGAATTTTCGTGAAGAGTATAATTTCTCTTATAATAATCCCTTACGTTGTTTGATAGGAGAGATTGAGATTTAAAAGGATAAATGATAGTTTTGTATTTAATTGCTATATTGTTTATTTTATTATTTATTAAAAATTACTTTTGAAAGGTAAAAAAGTCATTTTATTTTAATTTTTAGATGGATTAGTTGATCAATCCATTAATGAAAGGATCCAAAATGGTGGGTCCAGAGGGAGAGTCTCTCTCTCATATTCTCCTTCTTACCAAACAAGAGAT